TAGACCACCCCCTTAATGCCAGTAATAGACCACCCCCTTAATGCCAGTAATAGACCAATAGACCACCCCCTTAATGCCAGTAATAGACCAATAGACCACCCCCTTAATGCCAGTAATAGACCACCCCCTTACTGCCAGTAATAGACCAATAGACCACCCCCTTAATGCCAGTAATAGACCAATAGACCACCCCCTTAATGCCAGTAATAGACCAATAGACCACCCCCTTAATGACAGTAATAGACCAATACACCACCCCCTTAATGCCAGTAATAGACCAATAGACCACCCCCTTAATGCCAGTAATAGACCAATAGACCACCCCCTTAATGCCAGTAATAGACCAATAGACCACCCCCTTAATGCCAGTAATAGACCAATAGACCACCCCCTTAATGCCAGTAATAGACCACCCCCTTAATGCCAGTAATAGACCAATAGACCACCCCCTTAATGCCAGTAATAGACCACCCCCTTACTGCCAGTAATAGACCAATAGACCACCCCCTTACTGCCAGTAATAGACCAATAGACCACCCCCTTAATGCCAGTAATAGACCAATAGACCACCCCCTTAATGCCAGTAATAGACCAATAGACCACCCCCTTAATGCCAGTAATAGACCAATAGACCACCCCCTTAATGCCAGTAATAGACCAATAGACCACCCCCTTAATGCCAGTAATAGACCACCCCCTTAATGCCAGTAATAGACCAATAGACCACCCCCTTAATGCCAGTAATAGACCAATAGACCACCACCTTAATGCCAGTAATAGACCAATAGACCACCCCCTTACTGCCAGTAATAGACCAATAGACCACCCCCTTAATGCCAGTAATAGACCAATACACCACCCCCTTAATGCCAGTAATAGACCAATAGACCACCCCCTTAATGCCAGTAATAGACCAATAGACCACCCCCTTACTGCCAGTAATAGACCACCCCCTTACTGCCAGTAATAGACCAATAGACCACCCCCTTAATGCCAGTAATAGACCACCCCCTTAATGCCAGTAATAGACCACCCCCTTAATGCCAGTAATAGACCAATAGACCACCCCCTTAATGCCAGTAATAGACCAATAGACCACCCCCTTAATGCCAGTAATAGACCAATAGACCACCCCCTTAATGCCAGTAATAGACCAATAGACCACCCCCTTAATGCCAGTAATAGACCACCCCCTTAATGCCAGTAATAGACCAATAGACCACCCCCTTAATGCCAGTAATAGACCAATAGACCACCCCCTTACTGCCAGTAATAGACCAATAGACCACCCCCTTACTGCCAGTAATAGACCAATAGACCACCCCCTTAATGCCAGTAATAGACCAATAGACCACCCCCTTAATGCCAGTAATAGACCAATAGACCACCCCCTTAATGCCAGTAATAGACCAATAGACCACCCCCTTAATGCCAGTAATAGACCAATAGACCACCCCCTTACTGCCAGTAATAGACCAATAGACCACCCCCTTAATGCCAGTAATAGACCAATAGACCACCCCCTTAATGCCAGTAATAGACCAATAGACCACCCCCTTAATGCCAGTAATAGACCACCCCCTTAATGCCAGTAATAGACCAATAGACCACCCCCTTAATGCCAGTAATAGACCAATAGACCACCCCCTTAATGCCAGTAATAGACCAATAGACCACCCCCTTAATGCCAGTAATAGACCACCCCCTTAATGCCAGTAATAGACCACCCCCTTAATGCCAGTAATAGACCACCCCCTTAATGCCAGTAATAGACCAATAGACCACCCCCTTAATGCCAGTAATAGACCAATAGACCACCCCCTTAATGCCAGTAATAGACCACCCCCTTAATGCCAGTAATAGACCACCCCCTTAATGCCAGTAATAGACCACCCCCTTAATGCCAGTAATAGACCAATAGACCACCCCCTTAATGCCAGTAATAGACCAATAGACCACCCCCTTAATGCCAGTAATAGACCAATAGACCACCACCTTACTGCCAGTAATAGACCAATAGACCACCCCCTTAATGCCAGTAATAGACCAATAGACCACCCCCTTAATGCCAGTAATAGACCAATAGACCACCACCTTAATGCCAGTAATAGACCAATAGACCACCCCCTTAATGCCAGTAATAGACCAATAGACCACCACCTTACTGCCAGTAATAGACCAATAGACCACCCCCTTACTGCCAGTAATAGACCAATAGACCACCCCCTTACTGCCAGTAATAGACCAATAGACCACCCCCTTAATGCCAGTAATAGACCAATAGACCACCCCCTTAATGCCAGTAATAGACCAATAGACCACCCCCTTAATGCCAGTAATAGACCAATAGACCACCCCCTTAATGCCAGTAATAGACCAATAGACCACCCCCTTACTGCCAGTAATAGACCAATAGACCACCCCCTTAATGCCAGTAATAGACCAATAGACCACCCCCTTAATGCCAGTAATAGACCAATAGACCACCCCCTTAATGCCAGTAATAGACCACCCCCTTAATGCCAGTAATAGACCAATAGACCACCCCCTTAATGCCAGTAATAGACCAATAGACCACCCCCTTAATGCCAGTAATAGACCAATAGACCACCCCCTTAATGCCAGTAATAGACCACCCCCTTAATGCCAGTAATAGACCACCCCCTTAATGCCAGTAATAGACCACCCCCTTAATGCCAGTAATAGACCAATAGACCACCCCCTTAATGCCAGTAATAGACCACCCCCTTACTGCCAGTAATAGACCACCCCCTTAATGCCAGTAATAGACCAATAGACCACCCCCTTAATGCCAGTAATAGACCACCCCCTTAATGCCAGTAATAGACCAATAGACCACCCCCTTAATGCCAGTAATAGACCACCCCCTTAATGCCAGTAATAGACCACCCCCTTAATGCCAGTAATAGACCACCCCCTTAATGCCAGTAATAGACCAATAGACCACCCCCTTAATGCCAGTAATAGACCAATAGACCACCCCCTTAATGCCAGTAATAGACCAATAGACCACCACCTTACTGCCAGTAATAGACCAATAGACCACCCCCTTAATGCCAGTAATAGACCAATAGACCACCCCCTTAATGCCAGTAATAGACCAATAGACCACCACCTTAATGCCAGTAATAGACCAATAGACCACCCCCTTAATGCCAGTAATAGACCAATAGACCACCACCTTACTGCCAGTAATAGACCAATAGACCACCCCCTTAATGCCAGTAATAGACCAATAGACCACCCCCTTAACTCCTGCTCAAATTAACAGTAGCTTTAACAGACACCTAGCTTTGATTTAGCGTTTTGTTTGACCATACTTTACTAATGTTTGACCATACTTGACTAATGTTTGACCATACAGTACACTTGACTAATGTTTGACCATACTTGACTAATGTTTGACCATACTTGACTAATGTTTGACCATACTTGACTAATGTTTGACCATACAGTACACTTGACTAATGTTTGACCATACAGTACACTTAATACAACAGGAAATTCCAACCTACCCTTTGCTAGTATGCACATCCACTCGAATAATTAAAATATCTTACAAATACATCAACCATTAAAATTGCCACAAATTACATTCCTAATTTTTTTAAACTCAATTATCTTAACGGAGCCGTATGATAAACCAGTCAACATTTTATAACCTTTGAAAATTTAAAAACACTCATGTAATATCAATCTAAACTTTTATAACCTTTAAAAATTTAAAAACACTCATGTAATATCAATCTAAACTTTTATAACCTTTGAAAATTTAAAAACACTCATGTAATATCAATCTAAACTTTTATAACCTTTGAAAATTTAAAAACACTCATGTAATATCAATCTAAACTTTTATAACCTTTGAAAATTTAAAAACACTCATGTAATATCAATCTAAACTTAGAATCAAACCCATAGAAACTGATCTCTATCTCTACAATAAATGACCTACTGTGATGTAGCGTAACACCAAGTGAATTGCTAATGAGCTCAAGTAGTGATACAATACATAACAATTCTGTTGCTAGTAAGCTCAAATGATGATACAATACAAAAAAAAACTAAATAGGAAAATATACAGGTCTATATACAAAACAATAAACAGGTCTAGATAGAAAATACTAAATAGCAGCGCAAAATAAATCTATTATTATAAGACCTAAAAATGGAGGAAATGAGGTTGCCTAAATGACCCATAAAAATATTTGAAAAATTGTAAACAATTTGAAATTTCCATGAATTTAGCTAGAATATGTGCACAAACAATGAATTAAGCTAGAATATGTGCACAAACAATGAATTTAGCTAGAATATGTGCACAAACAATGAATTTAGCTAGAATATGTGCACAAACAATGAATTTAGCTAGAATATGTGCACAAACAATGAATTTAGCTAGAATATGTGCACAAACAATGAATTTAGCTAGAATATGTGCACAAACTATGAATTAAGCTAGAATATGTGCACAAACAATGAATTTAGCTAGAATATGTGCACAAACAATGAATTTAGCTAGAATATGTGCACAAACAATGAATTTAGCTAGAATATGTGCACAAACAATGAATTTAGCTAGAATATGTGCACAAACAATGAATTTAGCTAGAATATGTGCACAAACAATGAATTTAGCTAGAATATGTGCACAAACAATGAATTTAGCTAGAATATGTGCACAAACAATGAATTTAGCTAGAATATGTGCACAAACAATGAATTTAGCTAGAATATGTGCACAAACAATGAATTTAGCTAGAATATGTGCACAAACACTTCCAGGTGTACCAGTGGCAAAAATGAAGCAGATGCTTTCAAATGTTTGGACTATTATAGACAAAGCCAGCTAGGTTATGAGCAGCAGACATACTTTTATATGTATATATATATATATATTATAGATAATTAATTTATATTCTTTAATTTGAATTGTTTTTGAAAATGCACATGTTATAACAAACTATATTTAATCTCAGCACATCGAAGAGCGTTGCCATTTCCTGGCCTACCCAGAGCTGCTTGAAAAGATCAAGGGAGACCTGCCTAAATGTTTCTTGTTCCACGGACCAACTGGATGTGGGAAAACTTTATTGGCCAACGCTATAGCTGGGGTGAGTAGTGGGACACAGCTACAGCTGGGGTGGGTAGTGGGACACAGCTACAGCTGGGGTGGGTAGTGGGACACAGCTATAGCTGGGGTGAGTAGTGGGACACAGCTATAGCTGGGGTGAGTAGTGGGACACAGCTACAGCTGGGGTGAGTAGTGGGACACAGCTATAGGGGGGTGAGTAGTGGGACACAGCTATAGCTAGGGTGAGTAGTGGGACACAGCTATAGCTGGGGTGAGTAGTGGGACACAGCTACAGCTGGGGTGAGTAGTGGGACACAGCTATAGGGGGGTGAGTAGTGGGACACAGCTACAGCTGGGGTGGGTAGTGGGACACAGCTACAGCTGGGGTGGGTAGTGGGACACAGCTACAGCTGGGGTGGGTAGTGGGACACAGCTATAGCTGGGGTGAGTAGTGGGACACAGCTACAGCTGGGGTGGGTAGTGGGACACAGCTACAGCTGGGGTGGGTAGTGGGACACAGCTACAGCTGGGGTGAGTAGTGGGACACAGCTATAGCTGGGGTGAGTAGTTGGACACAGCTACAGCTGGGGTGAGTAGTGGGACACAGCTATAGCTGGGGTGAGTAGTGGGACACAGCTATAGCTGGGGTGAGTAGTGGGACACAGCTACAGCTGGGGTGAGTAGTGGGACACAGCTACAGCTGGGGTGAGTAGTGGGACACAGCTACAGCTGGGGTGAGTAGTGGGACACAGCTACAGCTGGGGTGAGTAGTGGGACACAGCTACAGCTGGGGTGAGTAGTGGGACACAGCTACAGCTGGGGTGAGTAGTGGGACACAGCTACAGCTGGGGTGGGTAGTGGGACACAGCTATAGCTGGGGTGAGTAGTGGGACACAGCTATAGCTGGGGTGAGTAGTGGGTTACAGCTATAGGGATTGGGTAGTGGGACACAGCTACAGCTGGGGTGGGTAGTGGGACACAGCTATAGCTGGGGTGAGTAGTGGGACACAGCTATAGGGGGGTGAGTAGTGGGACACAGCTACAGCTGGGGTGGGTAGTGGGACACAGCTACAGCTGGGGTGGGTAGTGGGACACAGCTATAGCTGGGGTGAGTAGTGGGACACAGCTACAGCTGGGGTGGGTAGTGGGACACAGCTATAGCTGGGGTGTGTAGTGGGACACAGCTATAGCTGGGGTGAGTAGTGGGTTACAGCTATAGGGATTGGGTAGTGGGACACAGCTACAGCTGGGGTGGGTAGTGGGACACAGCTATAGCTGGGGTGAGTAGTGGGTTACAGCTATAGGGATTGGGTAGTGGGACACAGCTACAGCTGGGGTGGGTAGTGGGACACAGCTATAGCTGGGGTGAGTAGTGGGACACAGCTATAGGGGGGTGAGTAGTGGGACACAGCTACAGCTGGGGTGAGTAGTGGGACACAGCTATAGGGGGGTGGGTAGTGGGACACAGCTACAGCTGGGGTGAGTAGTGGGACACAGCTACAGCTGGGGTGGGTAGTGGGACACAGCTATAGCTGGGGTGAGTAGTGGGACACAGCTATAGGGGGGTGGGTAGTGGGACACAGCTACAGCTGGGGTGAGTAGTGGGACACAGCTATAGGGGGGTGAGTAGTGGGACACAGCTATAGCTGGGGTGGGTAGTGGGACACAGCTATAGCTGGGGTGGGTAGTGGGACACAGCTATAGGGGGGTGGGTAGTGGGACACAGCTACAGCTGGGGTGGGTAGTGGGACACAGCTACAGCTGGGGTGGGTAGTGGGACACAGCTACAGCTGGGGTGGGTAGTGAGACACAGCTATAGCTGGGGTGGGTAGTGGGACACAGCTATAGGGGGGTGAGTAGTGGGACACAGCTATAGCTGGGGTGGGTAGTGGGACACAGCTACAGCTGGGGTGGGTAGTGGGACACAGCTATAGCTGGGGTGAGTAGTGGGACACAGCTACAGCTGGGGTGGGTAGTGGGACACAGCTATAGCTGGGGTGAGTAGTGGGACACAGCTACAGCTGGGGTGGGTAGTGGGACACAGCTATAGCTGGGGTGAGTAGTGGGACACAGCTATAGGGGGGTGGGTAGTGGGACACAGCTGGGGTGAGTAGTGGGACACAGCTATAGGGGGGTGGGTAGTGGGACACAGCTGGGGTGAGTAGTGGGACACAGCTACAGCTGGGGTGAGTAGTGGGACACAGCTACAGCTGGGGTGGGTAGTGGGACACAGCTATAGATGGGGTGAGTAGTGGGACACAGCTATAGGGGGGTGGGTAGTGGGACACAGCTGGGGTGAGTAGTGGGACACAGCTACAGCTGGGGTGAGTAGTGGGACACAGCTATAGGGGGGTGGGTAGTGGGACACAGCTGGGGTGAGTAGTGGGACACAGCTACAGCTGGGGTGAGTAGTGGGACACAGCTATAGGGGGGTGGGTAGTGGGACACAGCTGGGGTGAGTAGTGGGACACAGCTACAGCTGGGGTGAGTAGTGGGACACAGCTATAGCTGGGGTGGGTAGTGAGACACAGCTATAGCTGGGGTGAGTAGTGGGACACAGCTATAGGGGGGTGGGTAGTGGGACACAGCTATAGCTGGGGTGGGTAGTGAGACACAGCTATAGCTGGGGTGGGTAGTGGGACACAGCTATAGGGGGGTGAGTAGTGGGACACAGCTATAGCTGGGGTGGGTAGTGGGACACAGCTACAGCTGGGGTGGGTAGTGGGACACAGCTATAGCTGGGGTGAGTAGTGGGACACAGCTACAGCTGGGGTGGGTAGTGGGACACAGCTATAGCTGGGGTGAGTAGTGGGACACAGCTACAGCTGGGGTGGGTAGTGGGACACAGCTACAGCTGGGGTGGGTAGTGGGACACAGCTATAGCTGGGGTGAGTAGTGGGACACAGCTACAGCTGGGGTGGGTAGTGGGACACAGCTATAGCTGGGGTGAGTAGTGGGACACAGCTATAGGGGGGTGAGTAGTGGGACACAGCTACAGCTGGGGTGGGTAGTGGGACACAGCTACAGCTGGGGTGGGTAGTGGGACACAGCTATAGCTGGGGTGAGTAGTGGGACACAGCTATAGCTGGGGTGAGTAGTGGGACACAGCTATAGCTGGGGTGAGTAGTAGGACACAGCTATAGCTGGGGTGAGTAGTGGGACACAGCTACAGCTGGGGTGGGTAGTGGGACACAGCTATAGCTGGGGTGAGTAGTGGGACACAGCTATAGGGGGTGGGTAGTGGGACACAGCTATAGCTGGGGTGAGTAGTGGGACACAGCTACAGCTGGGGTGGGTAGTGGGACACAGCTATAGCTGGGGTGAGTAGTGGGACAAAGCTATAGGGGGGTGGGTAGTGGGACACAGCTATAGCTGGGGTGAGTAGTGGGACACAGCTACAGCTGGGGTGGGTAGTGGGACACAGCTACAGCTGGGGTGGGTAGTGGGACACAGCTACAGCTGGGGTGAGTAGTGGGACACAGCTCTAGGGGGGTGAGTAGAGTTACTTTTTTCATTGACTCTCCCAGGAATACAAGCTGCCTCTACTAGCAATGACAGCCACTGAATTGATTGGCGGGATCTCAGGGGACTCAGAGTCAAATATCAGGGACCTGTTTCTTCAGGCAGCGGTAAGTTGTAGACCTTTAGACCTTAGGGTTAGACCTGTAGACCTGTAGACCTTAGGGTTAGACCTGTAGACCTTTAGACCTTAGGGTTAGACCTGTAGACCTTTAGACCTTAGGGTTAGACCTGTAGACCTTTAGACCTTAGGGTTAGACCTGTAGACCTTTAGACCTTAGGGTTAGACCTGTAGACCTTTAGACCTTAGGGTTAGACCTGTAGACCTTTAGACCTTAGGGTTAGACCTGTAGACCTTTAGACCTTAGGGTTAGACCTGTAGACCTTTAGACCTTAGGGTTAGACCTGTAGACCTTTAGACCTTAGGGTTAGACCTGTAGACCTGTAGACCTTAGGGTTAGACCTGTAGACCTTTAGACCTTAGGGTTAGACCTGTAGACCTTTAGACCTTAGGGTTAGACCTGTAGACCTTAGGGTTAGACCTGTAGACCTTTAGACCTTAGGGTTAGACCTTTAGACCTTAGGGTTAGACCTGTAGACCTTAGGGTTAGACCTGTAGACCTTTAGACCTTAGGGTTAGACCTTTAGACCTTAGGGTTAGACCTTTAGACCTGTAGACCTTAGGGTTAGACCTGTAGACCTTAGGGTTAGACCTGTAGACCTTTAGGGGAGCCGGACGTTTTCCCGAAAGACACTTGCCTGAAGGCCGTTTGCCCGAAGACCGATTTCCCAAATGGACACTTGCCCGAATGCAACAAATGCCAGAATGGACACTAGCCCGAATGCGACAAACGCCCGAATGGACACTTGCTCGAATGCGACAAATGCCCGAATGGACACTTGCCCAAATGCGACAACTGCCCGAATGCCACTTGCCCGAAAACCGTTTGCCCGAAAAATGTTAATATTAGATAGTAAATTAATAATATTTCCAAATAGACATTCTTTAATCAATTTAAGTTTGAAATTTTGATTATAAACACAATTCTAAGCATAAAACAAAGTTGTTTATATTTTTAAATTTAGCTTTTATTTTTTTTTTCAAAACTGAGAAAGTGCAGTAAGAAAAACTTTATTTTTTAATAAATGTAAGGTGATGTTGGCGGCGGTGTTCTAACATTCTTTTAATGAATGTTTTGAACACCTTGTTTTGCCGACGTTTTGCGGTGGTTATATAGCTTTTATGACATTTAACAGATGAGCTTTGTTTGTTATCTTGTTATGCTTAACTTGTGAGGTGATCATTTAACAAAAGAATGAGGCGAGGTCTAGGTGGCAAATTTAAAAACTAAACGTAGTCAAATATGTTTGATCTCCATTTAATGCACCTTGTTAAGACAATGTGTTGAAGCGATTACTTAATAAAGAAAACAAAACTCATTTTACAATCCGGAGATGAATGAAAATTGTATTGTTGTCTAATTTTATATATAGAAGAGAAAGTATGTTTCTACACTTTTTAAATATCAAAAACAAATTAATTTAAAAATGTCTGTGTGGTAAAATATTTTTTTTTTCACTTTCTTTTTGCGTAGATGTGTTTTGTTTACCAACATTTTAAATTTAAATTGATTTCGAATGATTATTTAGTAATATATAATGTTAACATTTTTCGGGCAAATGGCATTCGGGCATTTGTCGCATTCGGGCAAGTGTCCATTCGGGAAATCGGCCTTCGGGCAAACTGCATTCGGGCAAGTGTCTTTTGGGAATTTGTCGTAGACCCACCTTTAGACCTGTAGACCTTAGGGTTAGACCTGTAGACCTTTAGACCTGTAGACCTTAGGGTTAGACCTTTAGACCTTTAGACCTTAGGGTTAGACCTGTAGACCTTAGGGTTAGACCTTTAGACCTTAGGGTTAGACCTGTAGACCTTAGGGTTAGACCTGTAGACCTTAGGGTTAGACCTTTAGACCTTAGGGTTAGACCTGTAGACCTTAGGGTTAGACCTGTAGACCTTAGGGTTAGACCTGTAGACCTTAGGGTTAGACCTGTAGACCTTTAGACCTTAGGGTTAGACCTTTAGACCTTAGGGTTAGACCTGTAGACCTTTAGACCTGTAGACCTTAGGGTTAGACCTTAGGGTTAGACCTGTAGACCTTAGGGTTAGACCTGTAGACCTTAGGGTTAGACCTTTAGACCTTAGGGTTAGACCTGTAGACCTTAGGGTTAGACCTGTAGACCTTAGGGTTAGACCTGTAGACCTTAGGGTTAGACCTGTAGACCTTAGGGTTAGACCTGTAGACCTTAGGGTTAGACCTGTAGACCTTAGGGTTAGACCTGTAGACCTTAGGGTTAGACCTGTAGACCTTAGGGTTAGACCTGTAGACCTTAGGGTTAGACCTGTAGACCTTAGGGTTAGACCTGTAGACCTTAGGGTTAGACCTGTAGACCTTAGGGTCCACTAGTTGACTCCGTACACCAACTTACATGTCAACACTCATGACCTGGCGCTATACTACATCTGACTTTATTTGTGTCATCTGACTTTATCTGTGTAAGGACTTGTGTCATCTGACTTTATTTGTGTCATCTTACTTTATTTGTGTCATCTGACTTTATCTGTGTCATCTGACTTTATCTGTGTAAGGACTTGTGTCATCTGACTTTATTTGTGTCATCTGACTTTATTTGTGTCATCTGACTTTATCTGTGTCGTCTGACTTTATCTGTGTAAGGACTTGTATCATCTGACTATTTCTCTCTGTGAAAGGACTTGTTTCATCTACGTGTATATTTGTTTAGGAATCTGCTCCATGTGTCCTGTTAATTGACGATATTGATGCCATCGCTACTAAGAGAGAAACAGCTAGCAAAGGAATGGAGACCAGACTTGTAACTCAACTGGCAAACAGCATGGATGGTAGGTCATGTAACAGCATAGATGGTAGGTCATGTGACAGCATAGATGGTAGGTCATGTAACAGCATGGATGGTAGGTCATGTGACAGCATGGATGGTAGGTCATGTAACAGCATAGATGGTAAGTCATGTAACAGCATAGATGGTAGGTCATGTGACAGCATGGATGGTAGGTCATGTGACAGCATGGATGGTAGGTCCAGTCCTACAAAGAAAATGTTTAGCTCATGTAACAAAAGTCCTGTATGGGTTGTGCCATGTTTCAGACTTGCGCAGTAAAAATGTCTGTGTGCTTGTCATCTGCGCCACCAATCGGCCCAACAGTTTGGATGAAGCCTTTAGAAGAACAGGAAGATTTGACATTGAATATGCCTTGAGGTTTCCCAATAGAGAGGGCAGGAAAAGGTAATGGAAAACATTGTAAGCTTGTACTAATGTAAGCCACATTGGTTAAACCAGCGAATGGCCATATTAGTTAAACCAGCGTATGTCCACATTGGTTGAACCAGTGTATGTCCGCAATGGTTGAACCAGTGTATGTCCACATTAGTTAAACCAGCGTATGTCCGCAATGGTTGAACCAGTGTATGTCCATAATGGTTGAACCAGTGTATGTCCACATTGGTTAAACCAGCGTATGTCCGCAATGGTTGAACCAGCGTATGTCCACATTGGTTAAACCAGCGTATGTCCACAATGGTTGAACCAGCGTATGTCCGCAATGGTTGAACCAGCGTATGTCTACAATGGTTGAACCAGCGTATGTCCACATTGGTTGAACCAGCGTATGTCCGCAATGGTTGAACCAGCGTATGTCCGCAATGGTTGAACCAGCGTATGTCCACAATGGTTGAACCAGCGTATGTCCACATTGGTTAAACCAGCGTATGTCCACAATGGTTGAACCAGCGTATGTCCGCAATGGTTGAACCAGTGTATGTCCACAATGGTTGAACCAGCGTATGTCCACAATGGTTGAACCAGCGTATGTCCACAATGGTTGAACCAGCGTATGTCCGCAATGGTTGAACCAGTGTATGTCCACAATGGTTGAACCAGCGTATGTCCACAATGGTTGAACCAGCGTATGTCCACAATGGTTGAACCAGCGTATGTCCGCATTGGTTAAACCAGCGTATGTCCGCATTGGTTAAACCAGCGTATGTCAGGGTTCGTGCGGCCTCCTGAAATTCCAGGAGGTCCTGGAAAACTCCTGGAATCTTAAAAAACGTAAAAATCTCCTGGAATTCTCCTGGAATTTAAAAAATTCCCCTGAAATCTCATGAAATTTCATTAACCCGCGGCGCAAAACCCGACCGAAATTATTTGATTTTGTTCCGCCAATAATTGAATAGTAGTTTTTAAATGGGACGAAAATAAAAATAAACGCATCGGCCGTCGTCCGACTGAATCGCACTGCCGTGATCTACACATCGTGTGGCACAGCTGAATGTGTGGTCACGTGACGCAAGGCGATTGACCCGATTGGATGATACTATAAACAATTTCTAAAGATAGATAGGCCTACATGTGTTCCCGTGTTTGACTTGTCGGCTTTTGGATTTTTAAAGTAGACAGGCATGTTTCATAACTTTGTCTTAAACTAATGAAACAGCAAAAACAAGTTGTAGTATTTACGGCTCAGGACTAATCGTCAAAATTAATCTTCTTTAGAAAACCCGGATACGGTATGTAACACCCAACGTAATATCCATAGCTAACCCCCCCACTACTCCGTGCCGTGACGCGACAAGCCGACGATAGTCGCCTTTGATGTTGTGTAACACTCGTACGGTGGTTTCATACCCCACCTCCCTTCCCCCTTCACTTTGTGGAGTTGATGTTACTAATCCTTGGGCATAGATCAAGAAATCTTGCCAGACTTTTGTCTCTGAAATTACATAATATTCGTCTGACACGTTCATCGGGTTGGCCGGCTAGCCTAGCATCATTGGATTTGGCATCCAAAATCAATAAAATATCACGAAATGATATTTATTGGTGAAGTCTGCTTGCATTTATACCTCTTTTATAGTGAAAAACTCTTAAAAATTTGGTCCATACCCTCCCAGTATTTATTCTCTTTCAGGGTCTATCCCGGTTGTCTGAAAAATCTATTTTTTTTAATGACAAAAAAAAATCATAACTTTTTTGTTTATGGTCAGATTTTGAAAATTCAAACTGGTCTGTAGTCAGATTGATAGCCTCTATCCTAATATGTAACTAATATATTGTTTTACTTTTACTGAAATTAAATTTTTGCATTGGCTTAGCTAATTAAATGTATTATTAAGTACGCTTTTTTTAAAAAAAATGTACAAATTGGGTTTCTTTTTTGTTTTTAAAATCTCCTTGAATTTTTTTTTAAACTCCTGGAAAAGTCCTGGAAAACTCCTGGAATTTTATTTGAACTTTTGAGCATGAACCCTGGTATGTCCACATTGGTTAAACCAGCGTATGTCCACATTGGTTGAACCAGCGTATGTCCGCAGCATCCTGGACGCCTTGTGCCGCGATGTTGTGCTGGGTGAGGACGTGTCCCTGTCTGACGTGGCTGACCTGACCCCTGGCTATGTGGGCAGTGACCTTAAGACCCTCATCTCTATCACCAACGCCTGCGCCTTCAACAGAAAACTTTTAGAGCTTGCTGGCCCACCAGAAGGTAAAATTTTGATCAGAGATGGTGTGTACAAAGTTTGTAAGACATAAAGATGGTGTGTACAAAGTTTGTAAGACATTAAGATGGTGTGTACAAAGTTTGTAAGACATAAAGATGGTGTGTACAAAGTTTGTAAGACATAAAGATGGTGTGTACAAAGTTTGTAAGACATAAAGATGGTGTGTACAAAGTTTGTAAGACATAAAGATGGTGTGTACAAAGTTTGTAAGGCATAAAGATGGTGTGTACAAAGTTTGTAAGACATAAAGATGGTGTGTACAAAGTTTGTAAGGCATAAAGATGGTGTGTACAAAGTTTGTAAGACATAAAGATGGTGTGTACAAAATTTGTAAGACATAAAGATGGTGTGTACAAAGTTTGTAAGACATAAAGATGGTGTGTAAAAAGTTTGTAAGACATAAAGATGGTGTGTACAAAGTTTGTAAGACATAAAGATGGTGTGTACAAAGTTTGTAAGACATAAAGATGGTGTGTACAAAGTTTGTAAGACATAAAGATGGTGTGTAAAAAGTTTGTAAGACATAAAGATGGTGTGTACAAAGTTTGTAAGACATAAAGATGGTGTGTACAAAGTTTGTAAGACGTAAAGATGGTGTGTACAAAGTTTGTAAGGCGTAAAGATGGTGTGTACAAAGTTTGTAAGGTGTAAAGATGGTGTGTACAAAGTTTGTAGCACGTAAAGATGGTGTGTACAAAGTTTGTAAGGCGTAAAGATGGTGTGTACAAAGTTTGTAAGGCATAAAGATGGTGTGTACAAAGTTTGTAAGACATAAAGATGGTGTGTACAAAGTTTGTAAGACATAAAGATGGGGCGTACAAAGTTTGTAAGGCATAAAGATGGTGTGTACAAAGTTTGTAAGGCATAAAGATGGTGTGTACAAAGTTTGTAAGGCATAAAGATGGTGTGTACAAAGTTTGTAAGGCATAAAGATGGTGTGTACAAAGTTTGTAAGGCATAAAGAGGGTGTGTACAAAGTTTGTAAGGCATAAAGATGGTGTGTACAAAGTTTGTAAGACATAAAGATGTTGTGTACAAAGTTTGTAAGGCATAAAGAGGGTGTGTACAAAGTTTGTAAGGGATAAAGATGCTTTGTGTTTGTCCTATTTTTCAGGAAACAAAAGACTGAGGAAAGTCATCTTCTCAGCGGAGGATCTTGACAATTTTCAATTGACCCTGCTCAAGTCGGATTTTCAAGTCAGTTTTCAATTGGTTTAGGGTTAGGGTTAGGGTTGTGGGTCAGGGTTAGGGTCAGGGTTGTGGGTCAGGGTCAGGGTTGTGCTTTCCCTTTATCACACACCTTATGCGAGCTGGACGTTTTCCAGAAAGACACTCGCCCGAATGTCGTTTGCCCAAAGGCCGATTTCCCGAATGCGACAAAGTCCCAAAAGCCACTTGCCCGAAGGCTGTTTGTCCGAAAAATGTAAATATTAAACAAAAAATTGTATTACCAATTGCATATTCTCATTCGTTTGATAATCTTCATAGTTCCAAGCATAAAAACAAATTTGTTTGTAATTTTTAAAGTAAGCTTTTATTTTTTTATAATATGCTTTAATAATTTTTTAAAAACTTCTTTATTCTTTAATAAATGTAAGATCATGTTTGCTGCTGTGTCTTAACATTCTTTTGAACACCTTTCTTAGCCTACATGTTGCAGTGGTAATATAGCGTTTATGACACGGTATAGGCGGCGCGGCGTCTGGCAATATTAAACAAAGGCGTGTTTGTTTGATGTATCTTGTCATGCTTAATTTGTGTGGTGATCATTTAACAATAGAATGAGGAGGCGAATTGTATAGACAGTGTGCTAAAGCGATTACTTAATAAAATAAGTGACATTATGTATTGTTTATCAAATTTTCAAATTTAAATTAATTACGAAAGACTGTTTGGTTTGGTAACATACAATGTAAACTTTTTTTTATGATAAACGGCCTTCAGGCTTTTGGGCATTTGTCTCATTCAAGCGTGACCATTCTATAGTGGACCCGAACCTTGCTACATGAGATTGTTGTAGTCCCCACTACATGAGATTGTTGTGGTCCCCACTACATGAGATTGTTGTGGTCCCCACTACATGAGATTGTTGTGGTCCCCACTACATCAGATTGTTGTGGTCCCCACTACATGAGATTGTTGTGGTCCCCACTACATGAGATTGTTGTAGTCCCCACTACATGAGATTGTTGTGGTCCCCACTACATGAGATTGTTGTGGTCCCCACTACATGAGATTGTTGTGGTCCCCACTACATCAGATTGTTGTGGTCCCCACTACATGAGATTGTTGTGGTCCCCACTACATGAGATTGTTGTAGTCCCCACTACATGAGATTGTTGTGGTCCCCACTACATGAGATTGTTGTGGTCCCCACTACATGAGATTGTTGTGGTCCCCACTACATGAGATTGTTGTGGTCCCCACTACATCAGATTGTTGTGGTCCCCACTACATGAGATTGTTGTGGTCCCCACTACATGAGATTGTTGTGGTCCCCACTACATGAGATTGTTGTGGTCCCCACTACATGAGATTGTTGTGGTCCCCACTACATGAGATTGTTGTGGTCCCCACTACATGAGATTGTTGTGGTCCCCACTACATCAGATTGTTGTGGTCCCCACTACATGAGATTGTTGTGGTCCCCACTACATGAGATTGTTGTGGTCCCCACTACATGAGATTGTTGTGGTCCCCACTACATGAGATTATTGTGGTCCCCACTACATCAGATTGTTGTGGTCCCCACTACATGAGATTGTTGTGGTCCCCACTACATGAGATTGTTGTGGTCCCCACTACATGAGATTGTTGTGGTCCCCACTACATCAGATTGTTGTGGTCCCCACTACATGAGATTGTTGTGGTCCCCACTACATGAGATTGTTGTGGTCCCCACTACATGAGATTGTTGTGGTCCCCACTACATGAGATTGTTGTGGTCCCCACTACATGAGATTGTTGTGGTCCCCACTACATCAGATTGTTGTGGTCCCCACTACATGAGATTGTTGTGGTCCCCACTACATGAGATTGTTGTGGTCCCCACTACATGAGATTGTTGTGGTCCCCACTACATGAGATTGTTGTGGTCCCCACTACATGAGATTGTTGTGGTCCCCACTACATGAGATTGTTGTAGTCCCCACTACATGAGATTGTTGTGGTCCCCACTACATGAGATTGTTGTGGTCCCCACTACATCAGATTGTTGTGGTCCCCACTACATGAGATTGTTGTGGTCCCCACTACATGAGATTGTTGTGGTCCCCACTACATGAGATTGTTGTAGTCCCCACTACATGAGATTGTTGTGGTCCCCACTACATGAGATTGTTGTGGTCCCCACTACATGAGATTGTTGTGGTCCCCACTACATGAGATTGTTGTGGTCCCCACTACATGAGATTGTTGTGGTCCCCACTACATGAGATTGTTGTAGTCCCCACTACATGAGATTGTTGTGGTCCCCACTACATGAGATTGTTGTGGTCCCCACTACATCAGATTGTTGTGGTCCCCACTACATGAGATTGTTGTGGTCCCACTACATTGTGGTTCTGATTGTTCTAGAAAGCTATGACAGAGGTCAAGCCAACAGCCAAACAAGAAGACGTGCTACTGGTCCCCAACACAACATGGGATGATATTGGAGGTCTGGACAACATCAGGAAGCAGCTCAACTTGTGCATTATGGTGAGTACTGCTAGGTACTCCACGCTCAACTTGTGCATTATGGTGAGTTACACACTCCAAGCTGAATGTTACACACTGCTAGGTACTCACTCCTAGCTGAATGTTACACACTGCTAGGTACTCACTCCTAGCTGAATGTTACACACTGCTAGGTACTCACTCCTAGCTGAATGTTACACACTGCTAGGTACTCAACTCCTACAACTTTGCCCATCTGACCCTCAAATCTATTTTCTATGAAGTGATGAGAGGTTGAAGTTATACCTCCACTAGATGGATGCCTTAATGCCTCCACTAGATGGATGCCTTAATGCCTCCACTAGGTGGATGCCTTAATGCCTCCACTAGGTGGCTGCCTTAATGCCTCCACTAGGTGGATGCCTTAATGCCTCCACTAGGTGGATGCCTTAATGCCTCCACTAGATGGCTGCCTTAATGCCTCCACTAGATGGCTGCCTTAATGCCTCCACTAGGTGGCTGCCTTAATGCCTCCACTAGGTGGATGCCTTAATGCCTCCACTAGATGGATGCCTTAATGCCTCCACTAGATGGATGCCTTAATGCCTCCACTAGGTGGATGCCTTAATGCCTCCACTAGGTGGCTGCCTTAATGCCTCCACTAGGTGGATGCCTTAATGCCTCCACTAGGTGGATGCCTTAATGCCTCCACTAGATGGCTGCCTTAATGCCTCCACTAGATGGCTGCCTTAATGCCTCCACTAGGTGGCTGCCTTAATGCCTCCACTAGGTGGATGCCTTAATGCCTCCACTAGATGGATGCCTTAATGCCTCCACTAGATGGATGCCTTAATGCCTCCACTAGGTGGATGCCTTAATGCCTCCACTAGGTGGATGCCTTAATGCCTCCACTAGGTGGATGCCTTAATGCCTCCACTAGGTGGCTGCCTTAATGCCTCCACTAGATGGCTGCCTTAATGCCTCCACTAGGTGGCTGCCTTAATGCCTCCACTAGGTGGCTGCCTTAATGCCTCCACTAGGTGGCTGCCTTAATGCCTCCACTAGGTGGATGCCTTAATGCCTCCACTAGGTGGATGCCTTAATGCCTCCACTAGATGGATGCCTTAATGCCTCCACTAGGTGGATGCCTTAATGCCTCCACTAGGTGGATGCCTTAATGCCTCCACTAGGTGGCTGCCTTAATGCCTCCACTAGGTGGATGCCTTAATGCCTCCACTAGGTGGATGCCTTAATGCCTCCACTAGATGGCTGCCTTAATGCCTCCACTAGATGGCTGCCTTAATGCCTCCACTAGGTGGCTGCCTTAATGCCTCCACTAGGTGGATGCCTTAATGCCTCCACTAGATGGATGCCTTAATGCCTCCACTAGATGGATGCCTTAATGCCTCCACTAGGTGGATGCCTTAATGCCTCCACTAGGTGGATGCCTTAATGCCTCCACTAGGTGGATGCCTTAATGCCTCCACTAGGTGGCTGCCTTAATGCCTCCACTAGATGGCTGCCTTAATGCCTCCACTAGGTGGCTGCCTTAATGCCTCCACTAGGTGGCTGCCTTAATGCCTCCACTAGGTGGCTGCCTTAATGCCTCCACTAGGTGGATGCCTTAATGCCTCCACTAGGTGGATGCCTTAATGCCTCCACTAGATGTATGCCTTAATGCCTCCACTAGGTGGATGCCTTAATGCCTCAACTAGGTGGATGCCTTAATGCCTCCACTAGGTGGATGCCTTAATGCCTCCACTAGATGGCTGCCTTAATGCCTCCACTAGATGGCTGCCTTAATGCCTCCACTAGATGGATGCCTTAATGCCTCCACTAGGTGGATGCCTTAATGCCTCCACTAGGTGGCTGCCTTAATGCCTCCACTAGATGGCTGCCTTAATGCCTCCACTAGGTGGCTGCCTTAATGCCTCCACTAGATGGCTGCCTTAATGCCTCCACTAGATGGCTGCCTTAATGCCTCCACTAGGTGGCTGCCTTAATGCCTCCACTAGGTGGAATGCCTCCACTAGATGGCTGCCTTAATGCCTCCACTAGGTGGCTGCCTTAATGCCTCCACTAGGTGGATGCCTTAATGCCTCCACTAGGTGGCTGCCTTAATGCCTTCACTAGGTGGCTACCTTAATGCCTCCACTAGGTGGAATGCCTCCACTAGGTGGCTGCCTTAATGCCTCCACTAGATCGATGCCTTAATGCCTCCACTAGATGGATGCCTTAATGCCTCCACTAGGTGGATGCCTTAATGCCTCCGCTAGATGGCTGCCTTAATGCCTCCACTAGGTGGATGCCTTAATGCCTCCACTAGGTGGAATGCCTCCACTAGATGGCTGCCTTAATGCCTCCACTAGGTGGATGCCTTAATGCCTCCACTAGGTGGCTGATTTAATGCCTCCACTAGATGGCTGCCTTAATGCCTCCACTAGATGGCTGCCTTAATGCCTCCACTAGGTGGATGCCTTAATGCCTCCACTAGGTGGATGCCTTAATGCCTCCACTAGATGTATGCCTTAATGCCTCCACTAGGTGGATGCCTTAATGCCTCAACTAGATGGCTGCCTTAATGCCTCCACTAGGTGGCTGCCTTAATGCCTCCACTAGGTGGCTGCCTTAATGCCTCCACTAGGTGGATGCCTTAATGCCTCCACTAGGTGGAATACCTCCACTAGGTGGAATGCCTCCACTAGGTGGAATGCCTCCACTAGGTGGCTGCCTTAATGCCTCCACTAGGTGGCTGCCTTAATGCCTTCATTAGGTGGCTGCCTTAATGCCTCCACTAGATGGCTGCCTTAATGCCTCCACTAGGTGGCTGCCTTAATGCCTCCACTAGATGGCTGCCTTAATGCCTGCACTAGGTGGATGCCTTAATGCCTCCACTAGATGAATGCCTTAATGCCTCAACTAGATGGATGCCTTAATGCCTCCACTAGGTGGCTGCCTTAATGCCTCCACTAGATGGCTGCCTTAATGCCTCCACTAGATGGCTGCCTTAATGACTCCACTAGGTGGCTGCCTTAATGCCTCCACTAGGTGGAATGCCTCCACTAGATGGCTGCCTTAATGCCTCCACTAGGTGGAATGCCTCCACTAGGTGGCTGCCTTAATGCCTCCACTAGATGGATGCCTTAATGCCTCCACTAGGTGGAATACCTCCACTAGGTGGCTGCCTTAATGCCTCCACTAGGTGGAATGCCTCCACTAGGTGGCTGCCTTAATGCCTCCACTAGGTGGCTGCCTTAATGCCTCCACTAGGTGGAATGCCTCCACTAGGTGGCTGCCTTAATGCCTCCACTAGATGGATGCCTTAATGCCTCCACTAGATGGATGCCTTAATGCCTCCACTAGGTGGATGCCTTAATTCCTCCACTAGGTGGCTGCCTTAATGCCTCCACTAGGTGGATGCCTTAATGCCTCCACTAGATGGCTGCCTTAATGCCTCCACTAGGTGGATGCCTTAATGCCTCCACTAGATGGCTGCCTTAATGCCTGCACTAGGTGGATGCCTTAATGCCTCCACTAGATGAATGCCTTAATGCCTCCACTAGATGGATGCCTTAATGCCTCCACTAGATGGATGCCTTAATGCCTCCACTAGATGGCTGCCTTAATGCCTCCACTAGGTGGATGCCTTAATGCCTCCACTAGATGGCTGCCTTAATGCCTCCACTAGATGGCTGCCTTAATGCCTCCACTAGGTGGATGCCTTAATGCCTCCACTAGATGGATGCCTTAATGCCTCCACTTGATGGCTGCCTTAATGCCTCCACTAGGTGGATGCCTTAATGCCTCCACTAGGTGGCTGCCTTAATGCCTCCACTAGATGGATGCCTTAATGCCTCCACTAGATGGCTGCCTTAATGCCTCCACTAGATGGATGCCTTAATGCCTCCACTAGATGGATGCCTTAATGCCTCCACTAGGTGGATGCCTTAATGCCTCCACTAGGTGGATGCCTTAATGCCTCCACTAGGTGGCTGCCTTAATGCCTCCACTAGATGGATGCCTTAATGCCTCCACTAGGTGGATGCCTTAATGCCTCCACTAGGTGGAATGCCTCCACTAGATGGCTGCCTTAATGCCTCCACTAGGTGGATGCCTTAATGCCTCCACTAGGTGGCTGCCTTAATGCCTCCACTAGATGGCTGCCTTAATGCCTCCACTAGATGGATGCCTTAATGCCTCCACTAGGTGGATGCCTTAATGCCTCCACTAGGTGGAATGCCTCCACTAGATGGCTGCCTTAATGCCTCCACTAGGTGGATGCCTTAATGCCTCCACTAGGTGGCTGCCTTAATGCCTCCACTAGATTGCTGCCTTAATGCCTCCACTAGATGGCTGCCTTAATGCCTCCACTAGGTGGATGCTTTAATGCCTCCACTAGATGGCTGCCTTAATGCCTCCACTAGGTGGATGCTAATGTTTTCCACTGAAGTGTCTATGTTGAGTTAGTGTTTGATGAGTTACTGTGAACTTTGCCAGGAAAGGACCAAAAGACCAGAATTGTATCAAGCCTTGGGCATGTCTTCAGCTGCTGGTGTCTTGCTGGTCGGACCTCCTGGCTGTGGGAAAACATCTGTGGCTAGGGTAAACAGACAGACAGACAGACAGACCTCCTGGCTGTGGGAAAACATCTGTGGCTAGGGTAAACAGACAGACAGACAGACAGACCTCCTGGCTGTGGGAAAACATCTGTGGCTAGGGTAAACAGACAGACAGACAGACAGACCTCCTGGCTGTGGGAAAACATCTGTGGCTAGGGTAAACAGACAGACAGACAGACCTCCTGGCTGTGGGAAAACATCTGTGGCTAGGGTAAACAGACAGACAGACAGACAGACCTCCTGGCTGTGGGAAAACATCTGTGGCTAGGGTAAACAGACAGACAGACAGACAGACCTCCTGGCTGTGGGAAAACATCTGTGGCTAGGGTAAACAGACAGACAGACAGACCTCCTGGCTGTGGGAAAACATCTGTGGCTAGGGTAAACAGACAGAAAGACAGACAGACAGACCTCCTGGCTGTGGGAAAACATCTGTGGCTAGGGTAAACAGACAGACAGACAGACAGACCTCCTGGCTGTGGGAAAACATCTGTGGCTAGGGTAAACAGACAGACAGACAGACAGACAGACCTCCTGGCTGTGGAAAAACATCTGTGGCTAGGGTAAACAGACAGACAGACCTCCTGGCTGTGGGAAAACATCTGTGGCTAGGGTAAACAGACAGACAGACAGACAGACAGACCTCCTGGCTGTGGGAAAACATCTGTGGCTAGGGTAAACAGACAGACGGACGGACCTCCTGGCTGTGGGAAAACATCTGTGGCTAGGGTAAACAGACAGACAGACAGACAGACCTCCTGGCTGTGGGAAAACATCTGTGGCTAGGGTAAACAGACAGACAGACAGACCTCCTGGCTGTGGGAAAACATCTGTGGCTAGGGTAAACAGACAGACAGACAGACGGACGGACCTCCTGGCTGTGGGAAAACATCTGTGGCTAGGGTAAACAGACAGACAGACAGACCTCCTGGCTGTGGGAAAACATCTGTGGCTAGGGTAAACAGACAGACGGACGGACCTCCTGGCTGTGGGAAAACATCTGTGGCTAGGGTAAACAGACAGACAGACAGACGGACGGACCTCCTGGCTGTGGGAAAACATCTGTGGCTAGGGTAAACAGACAGACAGACGGACGGACCTCCTGGCTGTGGGAAAACATCTGTGGCTAGGGTAAACAGACAGACAGACAGACAGACGGACGGACCTCCTGGCTGTGGGAAAACATCTGTGGCTAGGGTAAACAGACAGACGGACGGACCTCCTGGCTGTGGGAAAACATCTGTGGCTAGGGTAAACAGACAGACAGACAGACGGACGGACCTCCTGGCTGTGGGAAAACATCTGTGGCTAGGGTAAACAGACAGACAGACAGACCTCCTGGCTGTGGGAAAACATCTGTGGCTAGGGTAAACAGACAGACAGACAGACCTCCTGGCTGTGGGAAAACATCTGTGGCTAGGGTAAACAGACAGACGGACGGACCTCCTGGCTGTGGGAAAACATCTGTGGCTAGGGTAAACAGACAGACGGACGGACCTCCTGGCTGTGGGAAAACATCTGTGGCTAGGGTAAACAGACAGACGGACGGACCTCCTGGCTGTGGGAAAACATCTGTGGCTAGGGTAAACAGACAGACAGACAGACGGACGGACCTCCTGGCTGTGGGAAAACATCTGTGGCTAGGGTAAACAGACAGACAGACAGACGGACGGACCTCCTGGCTGTGGGAAAACATCTGTGGCTAGGGTAAACAGACAGACAGACAGACGGACGGACCTCCTGGCTGTGGGAAAACATCTGTGGCTAGGGTAAACAGACAGACAGACAGACGGACGGACCTCCTGGCTGTGGGAAAACATCTGTGGCTAGGGTAAACAGACAGACAGACAGACGGACGGACCTCCTGGCTGTGGGAAAACATCTGTGGCTAGGGTAAACAGACAGACAGACAGACGGACGGACCTCCTGGCTGTGGGAAAACATCTGTGGCTAGGGTAAACAGACAGACAGACAGACGGACGGACCTCCTGGCTGTGGGAAAACATCTGTGGCTAGGGTAAACAGACAGACAGACAGACGGACGGACCTCCTGGCTGTGGGAAAACATCTGTGGCTAGGGTAAACAGACAGACAGACAGACGGACGGACCTCCTGGCTGTGGGAAAACATCTGTGGCTAGGGTAAACAGACAGACAGACAGACGGACGGACCTCCTGGCTGTGGGAAAACATCTGTGGCTAGGGTAAACAGACAGACAGACAGACCTCCTGGCTGTGGGAAAACATCTGTGGCTAGGGTAAACAGACAGACAGACAGACAGACCTCCTGGCTGTGGGAAAACATCTGTGGCTAGGGTAAACAGACAGACAGACAGACGGACGGACCTCCTGGCTGTGGGAAAACATGTGTGGCTAGGGTAAACAGACAGACAGACAGACAGACAGACCTCCTGGCTGTGGGAAAACATCTGTGGCTAGGGTAAACAGACAGACAGACAGACAGACAGACAGACGGACCTCCTGGCTGTGGGAAAACATCTGTGGCTAGGGTAAACAGACAGACAGACAGACCCCCTGGCTGTGGGAAAACATCTGTGGCTAGGGTAAACAGACAGACAGACAGACCTCCTGGCTGTGGGAAAACATCTGTGGCTAGGGTAAACAGACAGACATAGACGTACAAAGACAGAAGGCGTCACAACGTGGGTGCAGGGGGTGCGGACTGCACTGGGTGACACCATTAGGGGGGGGGGGGAGACAAAAAATTGCAATAGAAGTAAAATAAAAATGTCTCCTGCTCAATGAAGGTTAATTAGAATTAAAAAATTGATGAAAGGACATAATAACACCGTCAAAATGTAACCTATAGAGAAAACAATGCTACATCAAGCTGTATTAATAACCAAAGTATAGAGAAAACAATGCTACACCTAGCTGTATTAATAACCAAAGTTTAGAGAAAACAATGCTACACCTAGCTGTATTAATAACCAAAGTTTAGAGAAAACAATGCTACATCAAGCTGTATTAATAACCAAAGTTTAGAGAAAACAATGCTACACCTAGCTGTATTAATAACCAAAGTATAGAGAAAACAATGCTACACCTAGCTGTATTAATAACCAAAGTATAGAGAAAACAATGCTACACCTAGCTGTATTAATAATGGGAACAGGGCATTTCCCCCCTGTCAATTACCCCCCGCCCATTAGGACATTACCCCCCCCCCCCCCCCCGGACAGGGTTAGAGTTAGGGCTAGGTTTAGGGTTTGGGTTAGGGTTAGGTTTCAGAGCTAGGGATAGGGTTAGGGTTAGGTTTTAGGGTTAGGGTTAGGTTTTAGAGCCAGGGTTAGGGCTAGGTTTAGGGCTTGTGTTAGGGTTAGGGTTACAGCTAGTTTTATGGTTAGGAATGTGTCTAGCTTTGGTTTTGGTTTTGTGTGAAGTTTTAGGCTAAGGTGGATGCTTAGGTTTTGGTCTTTTTCTTAAGGTTTGGATTAAAGTAGTATATAGGTATAGAATCCTAGTTAGAGTTAGGATTCTAACTTGAGAGGGGGGGGGGGGGTAATTGACAGGGGGGTAAATACGGGGGGGGAATATCCAGGGGGGTAATGTCCTGTAGCCATTAATAATAGACTATGTATAAACAGCGTTATTATTAAATGTGAACACTTTAAACCTTTTACTTGGGGAGGGTGAGAAAAAAAAAGGGGGTGGGGGGAATTACACCATGAGCTACGGCGCTGGGTGACACCCGACCTAGCGACGCCAATGACAAAGACTGAAAACTAGTTTATGTTACATGTGCAATCTCCGCATGTTTTTCTTTCAAGATTGTACAAAGATGTTTACTCAAAGGCTAAGTAGAAAATATTTGTCAATTTTAAAACATTGTTTATGTGAGGATTCTTTGAATTTTAGAGTTGAAATTTTTTAAGATTTTAGTTTGAATATTGGTAAATTTCTTTAGATTTTAGTTTGAATTTTGGTAAATTTGTTTAGATTTTAGTTTGAATATTGGTAAATTTGAGAATCTAATGTCATGATTAGTTAAAACTCAGTGGGGTTTAGGGTTTAAGAATGGAAATGATAGGTATTGAAATAGGGTTGGGTTTAAGGTTCAAGTATTGACATGTTGTCTTCTCTGAACCACACCAGGCAGTAGCTAATGAAGCTGGGATCAACTTTCTTTATATCAAAGGTCCGGAACTGCTCAACAAGGTAAGCTGGTAGTGGCAACACTGTCACAAAGTATAGTCTGACCTGGGTAGTGGCAACACTGTCACAAACTAGTCTGACCTATCCAGAAGATTCCACATGATCTGAGTGAGTCAAACTTTTTTTGTTCCCAGTATGTGGGAGAGAGTGAAAAAAATGTCAGAGATCTGTTTAAAAGAGCAGGCAGCTTGGCGCCATGTGTCATATTCTTTGATGAGATAGATTCCATCTGCCCTCGCAGGTCTTCCAGCTCTGAGGTAGGTCAGGTCTCAACTAGCCGTGTGACTAACCATCTCTCTCTAACCGTGTGACTAACCATCTCTCTCTAACTGTGTGACTAACCATCTCTCAACTAGCCGTGTGACTAACCATCTCTCTCTAACCGTGTGACTAACCATCTCTCTCTAACTGTGTGACTAACCATCTCTCTCTAGCCGTGTGACTAATCATCTCTCTCTAGCCATGTGACTAACCATCTCTCTCTAACTGTGACTAACCATCTCTCAACTAACAGTGTGACTAACCATCTCTCTCTAACCGTGTGACTAACCATCTCTCTCTAGCCGTGTGACTAACCATCTCTCTCTAGCCGTGTGACTAACCATCTCTCTCTAGCCGTGTGACTAACCATCTCTCTCTAGCCGTGTGACTAACCATCTCTCTCTAGCCGTGTGACTAACCATCTCTCTCTACTGTAGGAGAACTCAACTAGCCGTGTGACTAACCATCTCTCTCTAGCCGTGTGACTAACCATCTCTCTCTAGCCGTGTGACTAACCATCTCTCTCTAGCCATGTGACTAACCATCTCTCTCTACTGTAGGAGAACTCAACTAGCCGTGTGACTAACCATCTCTCTCTAGCCGTGTGACTAACCATCTCTCTCTAGCCGTGTGACTAACCATCTCTCTCTACTGTAGGAGAACTCAACTAGCCGTGTGACTAACCATCTCTCTAACCGTGTGACTAACCATCTCTCTCTAGCCACGTGACTAACCATCTCTCTCTACTGTAGGAGAACTCAACTAGCCGTGTGACTAACCATCTCTCTCTAGCCGTGTGACTAACCATCTCTCTCTAGCCGTGTGACTAACCATCTCTCTCTAGCAATGTGACTAACCATCTCTCTCTACTGTAGGAGAACTCAACTAGCCGTGTGACTAACCATCTCTCTCTAGCCGTGTGACTAACCATCTCTCTCTAGCCGTGTGACTAACCATCTCTCTCTAGCCATGTGACTAACCATCTCTCTCTACTGTAGGAGAACTCAACTAGCCGTGTGACTAACCATCTCTCTCTAGCCGTGTGACTAACCATCTCTCTCTAGCCGTGTGACTAACCATCTCTCTCTACTGTAGGAGAACTCAACTAGCCGTGTGACTAACCATCTCTCTCTAGCCGTGTGACTAACCATCTCTCTCTAGCCATGTGACTAACCATCTCTCTCTACTGTAGGAGAACTCAACTAGCCGTGTGACTAACCATCTCTCTCTAGCCGTGTGACTAACCATCTCTCTCTAGCCGTGTGACTAACCATCTCTCTCTAGCCGTGTGACTAACCATCTCTCTCTAGCCGTGTGACTAACCATCTCTCTCTAGCCGTGTGACTAACCATCTCTCTCTACTGTAGGAGAACTCAACTAGCCATGTGACTAACCATCTCTCTCTAGCCGTGTGACTAACCATCTCTCTCTACTGTAGGAGAACTCAACTAGCCGTGTGACTAACCATCTCTCTCTAGCCATGTGACTAACCATCTCTCTCTAGCCATGTGACTAACCATCTCTCTCTACTGTAGGAGAACTCAACTAGCCGTGTGACTAACCATCTCTCTCTAGCCGTGTGACTAACCATCTCTCTCTAGCCGTGTGACTAACCATCTCTCTCTAGCCGTGTGACTAACCATCTCTCTCTAGCCGTGTGACTAACCATCTCTCTCTACTGTAGGAGAACTCAACTAGCCATGTGACTAACCATCTCTCTCTAGCCATGTGACTAACCATCTCTCTCTAGCCATGTGACTAACCATCTCTCTCTACTGTAGGAGAACTCAACTAGCCGTGTGACTAACCATCTCTCTCTAGCCATGTGACTAACCATCTCTCTCTAGCCGTGTGACTAACCATCTCTCTCTACTGTAGGACAACTCATCTAGCCGTGTGACTAACCATCTCTCTCTAGCCGTGTGACTAACCATCTCTCTCTACTGTAGGAGAACTCAACTAGCCGTGTGACTAACCATCTCTCTCTAGCCATGTGACTAACCATCTCTCTCTACTGTAGGAGAACTCAACTAGCCGTGTGACTAACCATCTCTCTCTAGCCATGTGACTAACCATCTCTCTCTACTGTAGGAGAACTCAACTAGCCGTGTGACTAACCATCTCTCTCTAGCCGTGTGACTAACCATCTCTCAACTAGCCGTGTGACTAACCATCTCTCTCTAGCCGTGTGACTAACCATCTCTCTCTAGCCATGTGACTAACCATCTCTCTCTACTGTAGGAGAACTCAACTAGCCGTGTGACTAACCATCTCTCTCTAGCCGTGTGACTAACCATCTCTCTCTACTGTAGGAGAACTCAACTAGCCGTGTGACTAACCATCTCTCTCTACTGTAGGAAAACTCAACTAGCCATGTGACTAACCATCTCTCTCTAGCCGTGTGACTAACCATCTCTCTCTACTGTAGGAGAACTCAACTAGCCGTGTGACTAACCATCTCTCTCTAGCCGTGTGACTAACCATCTCTCTCTAGCCGTGTGACTAACCATCTCTCTCTAGCCATGTGACTAACCATCTCTCTCTACTGTAGGAGAACTCAACTAGCCGTGTGACTAACCATCTCTCTCTAGCCGTGTGACTAACCATCTCTCTCTAGCCGTGTGACTAACCATCTCTCTCTACTGTAGGAGAACTCAACTAGCCGTGTGACTAACCATCTCTCTCTAGCCGTGTGACTAACCATCTCTCTCTAGCCGTGTGACTAACCATCTCTCTCTACTGTAGGAGAACTCAACTAGCCGTGTGACTAACCATCTCTCTCTAGCCGTGTGACTAACCATCTCTCTCTAGCCGTGTGACTAACCATCTCTCTCTACTGTAGGAGAACTCAACTAGCCGTGTGACTAACCATCTCTCTCTAGCCGTGTGACTAACCATCTCTCTCTAGCCATGTGACTAACCATCTCTCTCTAGCCGTGTGACTAACCATCTCTCTCTACTGTAGGAGAACTCAACTAGCCGTGTGACTAACCATCTCTCTCTAGCCATGTGACTAACCATCTCTCTCTACTGTAGGAGAACTCAACTAGCCGTGTGACTAACCATCTCTCTCTAGCCATGTGACTAACCATCTCTCTCTACTGTAGGAGAACTCAACTAGCCGTGTGACTAACCATCTCTCTCTAGCCGTGTGACTAACCATCTCTCTCTAGCCGTGTGACTAACCATCTCTCTCTACTGTAGGAGAACTCAACTAGCCGTGTGACTAACCATCTCTCTCTAGCCGTGTGACTAACCATCTCTCTCTACTGTAGGAGAACTCAACTAGCCGTGTGACTAACCATCTCTCTCTAGCCGTGTGACTAACCATCTCTCTCTAGCCGTGTGACTAACCATCTCTCTCTAGCCATGTGACTAACCATCTCTCTCTAGCCGTGTGACTAACCATCTCTCTCTAGCCGTGTGACTAACCATCTCTCTCTAGCCGTGTGACTAACCATCTCTCTCTAGCCGTGTGACTAACCATCTCTCTCTAGCCATGTGACTAACCATCTCTCTCTACTGTAGGAGAACTCAACTAGCCGTGTGACTAACCATCTCTCTCTAGCCATGTGACTAACCATCTCTCTCTACTGTAGGAGAACTCAACTAGCCGTGTGACTAACCATCTCTCTCTAGCCGTGTGACTAACCATCTCTCTCTAGCCGTGTGACTAACCATCTCTCTCTACTGTAGGAGAACTCAACTAGCCGTGTGACTAACCATCTCTCTCTACTGTAGGAGAACTCAACTAGCCGTGTGACTAACCATCTCTCTCTAGCCGTGTGACTAACCATCTCTCTCTACTGTAGGAGAACTCAACTAGCCGTGTGACTAACCATCTCTCTCTACTGTAGGAGAACTCAACTAGCCGTGTGACTAACCATCTCTCTCTAGCCATGTGACTAACCATCTCTCTCTACTGTAGGAGAACTCAACTAGCCGTGTGACTAACCATCTCTCTCTAGCCGTGTGACTAACCATCTCTCTCTAGCCGTGTGACTAACCATCTCTCTCTAGCCGTGTGACTAACCATCTCTCTCTAGCCGTGTGACTAACCATCTCTCTCTAGCCATGTGACTAACCATCTCTCTCTACTGTAGGAGAACTCAACTAGCCGTGTGACTAACCATCTCTCTCTAGCCGTGTGACTAACCATCTCTCTCTAGCCACGTGACTAAATATCTCTCTCTAATGTAGGAGAACTCAACTAGCCGTGTGACTAACCATCTCTCTCTAGCCATGTGACTAACCATCTCTCTCTACTGTAGGAGAACTCAACTAGCCGTGTGACTAACCATCTCTCTCTAGCCGTGTGACTAACCATCTCTCTCTAGCCATGTGACTAACCATCTCTCTCTACTGTAGGAGAACTCAACTAGCCGTGTGACTAACCATCTCTCTCTAGCCGTGTGACTAACCATCTCTCTCTAGCCGTGTGACTAACCATCTCTCTCTACTGTAGGAGAACTCAACTAGCCATGTGACTAACCATCTCTCTCTAGCCGTGTGACTAACCATCTCTCTCTAGCCGTGTGACTAACCATCTCTCTCTACTGTAGGAGAACTCAACTAGCCGTGTGACTAACCATCTCTCTCTAGCCGTGTGACTAACCATCTCTCTCTAGCCGTGTGACTAACCATCTCTCTCTACTGTAGGAGAACTCAACTAGCCGTGTGACTAACCATCTCTCTCTAGCCGTGTGACTAACCATCTCTCTCTAGCCGTGTGACTAACCATCTCTCTCTAGCCATGTGACTAACCATCTCTCTCTACTGTAGGAGAACTCAACTAGCCGTGTGACTAACCATCTCTCTCTAGCCGTGTGACTAACCATCTCTCTCTAGCCGTGTGACTAACCATCTCTCTCTACTGTAGGAGAACTCAACTAGCCGTGTGACTAACCATCTCTCTCTAGCCATGTGACTAACCATCTCTCTCTAGCCGTGTGACTAACCATCTCTCTCTACTATAGGAGAACTCAACTAGCCGTGTGACTAACCATCTCTCTCTACTGTAGGAGAACTCAACTAGCCGTGTGACTAACCATCTCTCTCTAGCCGTGTGACTAACCATCTCTCTCTAGCCGTGTGACTAACCATCTCTCTCTAGCAATGTGACTAACCATCTCTCTCTACTGTAGGAGAACTCAACTAGCCGTGTAACTAACCATCTCTCTCTAGCCGTGTGACTAACCATCTCTCTCTAGCCGTGTGACTAACCATCTCTCTCTAGCCGTGTGACTAACCATCTCTCTCTACTATAGGAGAACTCAACTAGCCGTGTGACTAACCATCTCTCTCTACTGTAGGACAACTCAACTAGCCGTGTGACTAACCATCTCTCTCTAGCCGTGTGACAACCATCTCTCTCTACTATAGGAGAACTCAACTAGCCGTGTGACTAACCATCTCTCTCTAGCCGTGTGACAACCATCTCTCTCTACTATAGGAGAACTCAACTAGCCGTGTGACTAACCATCTCTCTCTAGCCATGTGACTAACCATCTCTCTCTACTGTAGGAGAACTCAACTAGCCGTGTGACTAACCAACTACTTTTGGAGATGTCTGGCCTGGAGCAGAGGACAGAAGTCTACGTCATTGCAGCAACTAACAGACTGGGTACAATCATTTTATCAGTACAATCATTCTCATCCATACAATCATTCACATTTCTATCTATCCCAAATGATGTTTGGTGACCTCTCCTTTAAACATCTCCCCCACAATTATTTTATTTCATCTTTCTTTCCAATTTTTTATCAATCCCCCACACCCCACAATTCTATTATTTCATCTTTCCCTTGTATCCAATTTTTACAGACAGACTTGATAAAGCATTCCTGCGCCCTGGTCGGATGGATAAAATCATTTATGTGGGCCTGCCCACCCCTAATGGTAGGGTGGAGATTCTACGAGCCTTGACAAAGGTGAGCTTGATCTACATGGGTCTACATGGGTCTATAGCTGGGTCTACATGGGTGTAGACCAAAAAGGCAAACTGTAAACGACTTCACCCCTCCCTCTCTTTATTCACACATAGCTTTATAGTTTTAGGTTATCTCTTTATTCACACTTAGCTTTATAGTTTTAGGTTAGGTTTAGATGTGTGCTAGCAGGAATACAGACTTGTGGGATGTGTCTCAACTAGCTAAAGTAGGGGGCAGGAGGGATATCTGTGTAGTGCTTCAAAGTTTGATAGTCCGAATGAAACTTTAACTTTAGTTCTCTTAACATTCTATCAAATCTAATGGAATGAATTTCTGCAACCCTTGATGACACACATTGTCTCCCTTACATTATTTCCATCATTGTTTTCACCACTGTGGTTCACGTTAGTTCTAGAACCTCGAGGAAAAATAGCTGGTCAGTTCAAGGGATCTTTGTAGGTCAGCTTGTGATTCATGTTTATGTCATCAGCCTAGCTTGGCTGTGTTGTCTGTCTGTGTGTTGTCTGTCTGTGTGTTGTCTGTCTGTGTGTTGTCTGTCTGAGGTTTTCAATGAACCCGATTTATTGTACTTGAAAAATGGTCTGTTAATCAGGGATAGAAATAAAACGTTCCAGTGTATTGACCATGTGCTTCCATATCATAAAAAGTCAAAAGATTTGCAGAGAAAAAGTCGTTGAAAAGGGAGTCAGATCAAGTGATCTGCAGCTTAATGCTGAGTTGGGCTGCAAGAGTTGAACGGAATTGCTGCTACTAAGAAAGGCTCACTTTTGACAATTCTGGGCTAAACAAACATCTGCATCTACACCTGGGCTAAACAAACATCTGCATCTACACCTACAAATGAATTTAAAAAACTTGCTATGATGTGGCAAGATAATAAGTTGTTGAGTGTGTGATGAAAAAGTTATCTCATGACGTCAGTGATTTCAAACCTTCAAACTATCATGTAAGCACGCTATAATCCAGGCAAACTTACTATCAGATTATGAGATTCTGTCTCGTGCCCTGCACTAGCCTTCCCCCCTCCCTGACTAGCCAGACACTTGAATATTTTGACTAAGATGTTTTGTCAGACATCTTTCCTTACACCGAGATGTTTTGTCAGACATCTTTCCTTACACCGAGATGTTTTGTCAGACTTCTTTACACCGGTGAGTCTAATAATTAAGAATGTATTCCTGACAGAATGGAACTCGACCAAAGTTAGCCACTGATGTCGACTTAAACAAGATTGGCAGAGACAAAAGATGTGATGGCTTTTCGTAAGTTCTTTCGTCAAGTCACAAACTCACCACGTCTTTCTTTCTCTAGAGGGGCAGATCTATGGTACATTTTTCTTTCTCTAGAGGGGCAGATCTATGGTACATTTTATTTTTCTTTCTCTAGAGGGGCTGATCTATGGTACATTTTTCTTTCTCTAGAGGGGCAGATCTATGGTACATTTTTCTTTCTTTAGAGGGGCAGATCTATGGTACATTTTTCTTTCTCTAGAGGGGCAGATCTATGGTACATTTTTCTTTCTCTAGAGGGGCAGATCTATGGTACATTTTTCTTTCTCTAGAGGGGCAGATCTATGGTACATTTTATTCTTCTTTCTCTAGAGGGGCAGATCTATGGTACATTTTTCTTTCTCTAGAGGGGCAGATCTATGGTACATTTTTCTTTCTCTAGAGGGGCAGATCTATGGTACATTTTTCTTTCTCTAGAGGGGCAGATCTATGGTACATTTTTCTTTCTCTAGAGGGGCAGATCTATGGTACATTTTTCTTTCTCTAGAGGGGCAGATCTATGGTACATTTTTCTTTCTCTAGAGGGGCAGATCTATGGTACATTTTTCTTTCTCTAGAGGGGCAGATCTATGGTACATTTTTCTTTCTCTAGAGGGGCAGATCTATGGTACATTTTTCTTTCTCTAGAGGGGCAGATCTATGGTACATTTTATTTTTCTTTCTCTAGAGGGGCAGATCTATGGTACATTTTATTTTTTTCTTTAGAGGGGCAGATCTATGGTACATTTTTCTTTCTCTAGAGGGGCAGATCTATGGTACATTTTTCTTTCTCTAGAGGGGCAGATCTATGGTACATTTTTCTTTCTCTAGAGGGGCAGATCTATGGTACATTTTTCTTTCTCTAGAGGGGCAGATCTATGGTACATTTTTCTTTCTCTAGAGGGGCAGATCTATGGTACATTTTTCTTTCTCTAGAGGGGCAGATCTATGGTACATTTTTCTTTCTCTAGAGGGGCAGATCTATGGTACATTTTTCTTTCTCTAGAGGGGCAGATCTATGGTACATTTTTCTTTCTCTAGAGGGGCAGATCTATGGTACATTTTATTTTTCTTTCTCTAGAGGGGCAGATCTATGGTACATTTTTCTTTCTCTAGAGGGGCAGATCTATGGTACATTTTTCTTTCTCTAGAGGGGCAGATCTATGGTACATTTTATTTTTCTTTCTCTAGAGGGGCAGATCTATGGTACATTTTATTTTTTTCTTTAGAGGGGCAGATCTATGGTACATTTTTCTTTCTCTAGAGGGGCAGATCTATGGTACATTTTTCTTTCTTTAGAGGGGCAGATCTATGGTACATTTTTATTTTTCTTTCTTTAGAGGGGCAGATCTATGGTACATTTTATTTTTTTTCTTTAGAGGGGCAGATCTATGGTACATTTTATTTTTCTTTCTCTAGAGGGGCAGATCTATGGTACATTTTATTTTTTTCTTTAGAGGGGCAGATCTATGGTACATTTTATTTTTTTCTTTAGAGGGGCAGATCTAGGGAATTTGGTTCAGGTGGCGAGGGAAGTATGCCTGGAGCAAATCATTGAAGCCACTGCAACCTATGACGGTAGTTTTCTACCTCAGGTCAATCTGGCACATTTTGAAGTGGCTTTTGGAAAAGTCAAACCATCTGTGGATAATGAGGTTAGTGGTTGAGGGGGGAGTTTTTTTGTACCGTGGGGGGAGGGGGGGTGAGGGTAGGATGATTTGTCTCACTCTGTTGTGTTTGTATGACCAGGCCAAAAGAAATTATGAAGCTGTCAGGAAACTTCTGGAACATAAAGCAGCACAAGTACCAGATGGATTGTCTCCCATGGAGCTTGAATGATGACCAGTGGACTAAGGCTACCTTTCAGTTCAATTGTTAACAAAACCAAAAACTTTCATGTCCAATTTTATTTGTAAATAAAACAAAACTTTGACTTTAACTTCTTATTGCTTTTTTTTGTCACATGAGGATTGACTTTTCATTTCCTGGCAACCTACCAAAAAAAAAATGAATTAATCTCAAACTTTTGATTAGCTGAGTTAGAATTGAACACTCAATGTTCTTAAACCTATTGCATAATGCTCCATAACATGTAGCCAGATAGAAAAATGTCACCAGCACTAAACTAAATGAAAAAACAAATTACCTCGAGCAAACTTTTGCCGGAGCTGCAGAGCACAATGGATACCAGACGTGAAAATAAAATACTGGATGCAGACAGGACCCCAGGAGGCTGGAAATGACAGAAATTAAGGGGTATGACTATATTCAGCAGTAAAACTGCAACAGGCATTAAATTAAGGGGTATGACTATATTCAGCAGTAAAACTGCAACAGGCACTAAATTAAGGGGTATGACTATATTCAGCAGTAAAACTGCAACAGGCACTAAATTAAGAGGTATGACTATATTCAGCAGTAAAACTGCAACAGGCACTAAATTAAGGGGTATGACTATATTCAGCAGTAAAACTGCAACAGGCACTAAATTAAGAGGTATGACTATATTCAGCAGTAAAACTGCAACATGCACTAAATTAAGGGGTATGACTATATTCAGCAGTAAAACTGCAACAGGCACTAAATTAAGAGGTATGACTATATTCAGCAGTAAAACTGCAACAGGCACTAAATTAAGGGGTATGACTATATTCAGCAGTAAAACTGCAACAGGCACTAAATTAAGGGGTATGACTATATTCAGCAGTAAAACTGCAACAGGCACTAAATTAAGGGGTATGACTATATTCAGCAGTAAAACTGCAACAGGCACTAAATTAAGGGGTATGACTATATTCAGCAGTAAAACTGCAACATGCACTAAATTAAGGGGTATGACTATATTCAGCAGTAAAACTGCAACAGGCACTAAATTAAGGGGTATGACTATATTCAGCAGTAAAACTGCAACATGCACTAAATTAAGGGGTATGACTATATTCAGCAGTAAAACTGCAACATGCACTAAATTAAGGGGTATGACTATATTCAGCAGTAAAACTGCAACAGGCACTAAATTAAGGGGTATGACTATATTCAGCAGTAAAACTGCAACATGCACTAAATTAAGGGGTATGACTATATTCAGCAGTAAAACTGCAACATGCACTAAATTAAGGGGTATGACTATATTCAGCAGTAAAACTGCAACATGCACTAAATTAAGGGGTATGACTATATTCAGCAGTAAAACTGCAACAGGCACTAAATTAAGGGGTATGACTATATTCAGCAGTAAAACTGCAACATGCACTAAATTAAGGGGTATGACTATATTCAGCAGTAAAACTGCAACATGCACTAAATTAAGGGGTATGACTATATTCAGCAGTAAAACTGCAACAGGCACTAAATTAAGAGGTATGACTATACTCAGCAGTAAAACTGCAACAGGCACTAAATTAAGGGGTATGACTATATTCAGCAGTAAAACTGCAACATGCACTAAATTAAGGGGTATGACTATATTCAGCAGTAAAACTGCAACAGGCACTAAATTAAGGGGTATGACTATATTCAGCAGTAAAACTGCAACAGGCACTAAATTAAGGGGTATGACTATATTCAGCAGTAAAACTGCAACATGCACTAAATTAAGGGGTATGACTATATTCAGCAGTAAAACTGCAACATGCACTAAATTAAGGGGTATGACTATATTCAGCAGTAAAACTGCAACATGCACTAAATTAAGGGGTATGACTATATTCAGCAGTAAAACTGCAACAGGCACTAAATTAAGGGGTATGACTATATTCAGCAGTAAAACTGCAACATGCACTAAATTAAGGGGTATGACTATATTCAGCAGTAAAACTGCAACATGCACTAAATTAAGGGGTATGACTATATTCAGCAGTAAAACTGCAACAGGCACTAAATTAAGAGGTATGACTATACTCAGCAGTAAAACTGCAACAGGCACTAAATTAAGGGGTATGACTATATTCAGCAGTAAAACTGCAACAGGCACTAAATTAAGAGGTATGACTATACTCAGCAGTAAAACTGCAACAGGCACTAAATTAAGAGGTATGACTATACTCAGCAGTAAAACTGCAACAGGCAGACAGCAACAACAATCTTTGAATCAGACGCGCCCTCCGGCAGCGGCCCATTTGGCTATCTTGTGAGCACTGTGGTGCTTACGTTCATTTTAAAGAGCACCCTACAATATTTACATGTTGGAACACAACATTGGATGATTAAACCGAGCCAGGTGACCTATGCCGCGCCCGTGCAGCGGAACCGGGGACTCACAATAACTCCCCTCTACACCCAAGACACCTGTGTCGTCGCCAAAGTGTGTTCTACCTCACTAGTACAGAGAGTGATTAACGTACACTCTGAGACCATGGCAACTTGTGGGTACGGGCACGCTAGTACATAATATATACAATCATCAAAAATTAGTTATGAAAAAAATTATAAAAACATAATAAAGGAGAATATAAAGAAATAAACTGATTTTATAATGTGTATATTCTTTGGAAGTCAGCCTGAAGTAGTGTGGGGTTGGGTGTAGCACCTGTGGTAGTGTGGGGTTGGGTGTAGCACCTGTGGTAGTGTGGGGTTGGGTGTAGCACCTGTAGTAGTGTGGGGTTGGGTGTAGCACCTGTGGTAGTGTGGGGTTGGATGTAGCACTTGTGGTAGTGTGGGGTTGGGTGTAGCACCTGTGGTAGTGTGGGGTTGGGTGTAGCACCTGTGGTAGTGTGGGGTTGGGTGTAGCACCTGTGGTAGTGTGGGGTTGGGTGTAGCACCTGTGGTAGTGTGGGGTTGGATGTAGCACTTGTGGTAGTGTGGGGTTGGGTGTAGCACCTGTGGTAGTGTGGGGTTGGGTGTAGCACCTGTGGTAGTGTGGGGTTGGGTGTAGCACCTGTGGTAGTGTGGGGTTGGGTGTAGCACCTGTGGTAATGTGGGGTTGGGTGTAGCACCTGTGGTAGTGTGGGGTTGGATGTAGCACCTGTGGTAGTGTGGGGTTGGATGTAGCACCTGTGGTAGTGTGGGGTTGGATGTAGCACCTGTGGGGGTTGGGTGTAGCACCTGTGGTAGTGTGGGGTTGGATGTAGCACCTGTGGTAGTGTGGGGTTGGATGTAGCACCTGTGGTAGTGTGGGGTTGGGTGTAGCACCTGTGGGGGTTGGGTGTAGCACCTGTGGTAGTGTGGGGTTGGGTGTAGCACCTGTGGTAGTGTGGGGTTGGGTGTAGCACCTGTGGGGGTTGGGTGTAGCACCTGTGGTAGTGTGGGGTTGGATGTAGCACCTGTGGGGGTTGGGTGTAGCACCTGTGGTAGTGTGGGGTTGGGTGTAGCACCTGTGGTAGTGTGGGGTTGGATGTAGCACCTGTGGTAGTGTGGGGTTGGGTGTAGCACCTGTGGTAGTGTGGGGTTGGGTGTAGCACCTGTGGGGGTTGGGTGTAGCACCTGTGGTAGTGTGAGGTTGGGTGTAGCACCTGTGGTAGTGTGGGGTTGGGTGTAGCACCTGTGGGGGTTGGGTGTAGCACCTGTGGTAGTGTGGGGTTGGGTGTAGCACCTGTGGTAGTGTGGGGTTGGGTGTAGCACCTGTGGTAGTGTGGGGTTGGATGTAGCACCTGTGGTAGTGTGGGGTTGGGTGCAGCACCTGTGGGGGTTGGGTGTAGCACCTGTGGTAGTGTGGGGTTGGATGTAGCACTTGTGGTAGTGTGGGGTTGGGTGTAGCACCTGTGGTAGTGTGGGGTTGGGTGTAGCACCTGTGGTAGTGTGGGGTTGGGTGTAGCACCTGTGGTAGTGTGGGGTTGGGTGTAGCACCTGTGGTAGTGTGGGGTTGGATGTAGCACCTGTGGTAGTGTGGGGTTGGATGTAGCACCTGTGGTAGTGTGGGGTTGGGTGTAGCACCTGTGGTAGTGTGGGGTTGGGTGTAGCACCTGTGGTAGTGTGGGGTTGGGTGTAGCACCTGTGGTAGTGTGGGGTTGGATGTAGCACCTGTGGTAGTGTGGGGTTGGATGTAGCACTTGTGGTAGTGTGGGGTTGGGTGTAGCACCTGTGGTAGTGTGGGGTTGGGTGTAGCACCTGTGGTAGTGTGGGGTTGGGTGTAGCACCTGTGGTAGTGTGGGGTTGGGTGTAGCACCTGTGGTAGTGTGGGGTTGGGTGTAGCACCTGTGGTAGTGTGGGGTTGGATGTAGCACCTGTGGTAGTGTGGGGTTGGATGTAGCACCTGTGGTAGTGTGGGGTTGGGTGTAGCACCTGTGGGGGTTGGGTGTAGCACCTGTGGTAGTGTGGGGTTGGGTGTAGCACCTGTGGTAGTGTGGGGTTGGGTGTAGCACCTGTGGGGGTTGGGTGTAGCACCTGTGGTAGTGTGGGGTTGGGTGTAGCACCTGTGGTAGTGTGGGGTTGGATGTAGCACCTGTGGTAGTGTGGGGTTGGATGTAGCACCTGTGGTAGTGTGGGGTTGGGTGTAGCACCTGTGGTAGTGTGGGGTTGGGTGTAGCACCTGTGGTAGTGTGGGGTTGGGTGTAGCACCTGTGGTAGTGTGGGGTTGGATGTAGCACCTGTGGTAGTGTTGGGTTGGGTGTAGCACCTGTGGTAGTGTGGGGGTGGATGTAGCACCTGTGGTAGTGTGGGGTTGGATGTAGCACCTGTGGTAGTGTGGGGTTGGATGTAGCACCTGTGGTAGTGTGGGGTTGGATGTAGCACCTGTGGGGGTTGGGTGTAGCACCTGTGGTAGTGTGGGGTTGGATGTAGCACCTGTGGTAGTGTGGGGTTGGGTGTAGCACCTATGATAGTGTGGGGTTGGGTGTAGCACCTGTGGTAGTGTGGGGTTGGGTGTAGCACCTGTGGTAGTGTGGGGTTGGGTGTAGCACCTGTGGGGTTGGGTGTAGCACCTGTGGAAGTGTGGGGTTTGATGTAGCACCTGTGGTAGTGTGGGGTTGGGTGTAGCACCTGTAGTAGTGTGGGGTTGGGTGTAGCACCTGTGGTAGTGTGGGGTTGGATGTAGCACTTGTGGTAGTGTGGGGTTGGGTGTAGCACCTGTGGTAGTGTGGGGTTGGGTGTAGCACCTGTGGTAGTGTGGGGTTGGGTGTAGCACCTGTGGTAGTGTGGGGTTGGGTGTAGCACCTGTGGTAGTGTGGGGTTGGATGTAGCACTTGTGGTAGTGTGGGGTTGGGTGTAGCACCTGTGGTAGTGTGGGGTTGGGTGTAGCACCTGTGGTAGTGTGGGGTTGGGTGTAGCACCTGTGGTAGTGTGGGGTTGGGTGTAGCA